TAAAACATTACGAAGCACTAGTTCTTGAAAGTCCTTTGAACCTCACCAAAAAGTGTGGCTCTTCAATGCCAAATTGCGGTTGTTTTAAGATAAACTTCGGTCTAGGTGGGATAGACCATTTGAGGTCGTCGAAGTATTTCTACATGGGGTAGTTGAAATAAAGAATCCCAAAGATGGCATGACCTTCAAGGTCAATGGCCAAAGGTTAAAACATTACGTGGATGTTATTGAGGGGAGGAGATGATTGAGGTGTTCCAATTGACGAACCCAGTGTATCTTCCCTAGTGATTGTTTGATGTCTAAGGGACTTTAAATCCTCTAAAGGTGTAATTCCTTTGGTGTTTGTTGTTCCCGAATGACATCTGACGGTCTGGTATAACAACCTAACTGTATTTGTAGCGAGTTCCTAGGAGATTAACTAAGATGGTGGAAACTTGAGTTCGAATGACAGCCTAGAATGCAAAGTTTTGGTAGTTTTGAGACGAAAGTCTGGTTTAAATATGCAAGGGTGTGGAGATTGCTTCAAAATCACCTCGGCTTGAAATCTATAAGGTAGCCCCATTGGTTGATGTAGCTTTTGGCATCTCAATAATGGATACTAAATCAACCTAGTCTGTCACGCTATTGGAAAATAGGGGAAGTTATAAACATAGTCAGGGAGAAAAGTAATACTTGTGGTTTTTGCAAGAAGATCATACCTTTGTTAAGCAATTAGGCGTTTGAATTTTTATTCTTACTTTTAATGTGAAATGGAAAAATTCGATCGCATGTGTGGCCCACACGGGTGCACAATCGGCCAGACCCATAATGTACTATTATACAGTAGCTGGAGTGGCCTAATTCTACCGCTGGAGCGGCCAAAAATAACCGCACGTGTGGTCCATATAGGCATACAAGCGGCATAAGGCTCAAACCATAATGCTTAACAGCCGCTAGAGTAGCCCAATTTCGCCTCAAGTCAGGCCCGAAATTCACCGTTTGAGCGGTCCATACGGGCACATGAGCGGCCCGAGCGAAAAACAAAAATATATGTACTTTCTGCAGCAGTTAAGAGAAAACCCTAGGCCTCTTTGACCATGACTTTCTCAACTCTCTCTCTCTCTACCTCTCATCATCTTCTTTGTCTTGTCTCTCTAAAACTCAACAAACCTCTATTATCACACACTACCACCACCTACCACACTTACCACCATCAGCAGCCCACTATCGGAGTACCATCGCGGGCAACCCATCTCCACCACCAGAGGCACTTTCCGGCAAGTTTTTCTGGCGAACTACATCAATTGTGCACTTGACACCCATTTTTCTACCATTTCTTCAAAACCTTAGTGAGTTCTTCTTTCTCTTTCTTTTTCTTTTCCTTTTTTTTTCCCTTCCCTTTCCCCTCCCTTCTCGGCCAGATTGCTTACTGACTTCCGGCCGCACATGTGGCCCTCCCCTCCAAAAAAAAAAAAAAGAAGAGAAAAAACTTGTTCGTTGTATTATATGTTTTAACTTAGTTTCATATTTGTTTAGCTTAGTTGTTTTGGGATAGTTGTCTCCTAGTTGTTAATATTAGCTTGATTTATTTGTTTGTTTTGTGTAACATAGTTGATTTACTAGTATAATCTTGTTCCTTTACATAAATAATAATAATAATAATAATAATAATAATAATAATAATAATAATAATAATAATAATAATAATAATAAACTTGCTGCATCAGAAGAAATTTTCGCAAGATGCTTAACATCACGGTATCTCTCGTCTTTTTTTTACTCTTTGATTTAAGTTTTGTAATTTGAATTATATTTTTTATAAACCGCCAATCCGCCCGAACCGCCAAGGCAAATCCGCCATTATTTGCCAACCGAACCGTCAGTTTTTGATAAGGAAAATGGCAAATTCTAGTGACACTTTCATCAATCCGCCACCCGCCATACGCGCACACCCCTATCTATGATCATGCCTTCAACTGGACTAAGCCGAGCTGGGTGAAGCAACGGTCTGAGACCGAACAAGGTCAGCGGAAACGAATGGAGTTGGGTGAATCGAGCTAGTTTTTGAGCTCGACCATGATGATCGGCCGGAATTGGGACTGGAATTGACCGGGCTATGCCTAGCTCGGTGGAAATTGTTAGGTCCAATTAGAGTGCGAGAGGAGAAACCCGCCAATGGTGTGCGTCAATACCGTTTAGTAGTTTGGCCATTGTTGTTTGGCGGTATTGACACGTATACGTGTAAGGAATAGAGAGGGCAGTATAACCGCTCGTCCAGATGAGGACAACAGAAGTAGTGTGTGCAGAACCCCTGAGGTTGATGGCCAGCCTAGAAAAAGGAGGAATGGAGGACGTTGGAGGTAAGCAACCTGAACAACCCTCTCTCTCTCTCTCTAAAAAGTGCTCTCTTCTTCTTCAAGTGGTCTAACTTGATCGTCAGAGGGACTATCCGGCAACACCCCGCCGGGCAGCTCACCGTTTCTCTGTTTCCAGGTCAGACGTCGTTACGTGAAGCTTGAGTTTAAGGAGTACGGAGAACGGAGGATATTTCGTCCTCGTACAATTGGCGTCGTCTGTGGGAAGACTTGATACACAAACCTTGCTCTTTAAGTTTTTTCGATCGTTTCCATGGCTAACAACAATGAAACTCCACTGTCCGTCGTCGATGGTGTTACGCCAGACTCTGTTCAACGGAGAGAAGGCCCCCCTGCTATTCTAGCCATGGCGGGCCTAGAGACCTCTTTGAGAGGTGCGCGAGACAAACGCGCAAGGAGTACTGATCGCTCGAAGAGTCCGAAGGTCCGTCGACGGCGGGTGAAGTCGCATGCACAGCACTTGGAGCACAAACTCGAAGACCAGGACGTCCTTATTCGCCGCCAAGATGGCGGCTGAAATCGAGGTGCTGAAATGCCAGATCAGGGGGAAACGTGTTGCTGGAGAGGGCAGCCTCAGTGAGCGCACCCCGTCTCCTTGCTCTGGCAGTCGCCGCCAAGAAAGGACGCACTCTCTCTCTATCACCAGAAGCTATGGGGTCGGGGACTCCGACCCACAGGTGGGCAAATCTCACACTCACGACAGCACTTGCTGTCCCTCACGTCCATCGTCGACATCGCGATACTCCTTTTTCGCCCGTTTGGGAGACCTGAGGGATGTGTTGGAGGAGAGGGCTCGCCGTAGGGAGACTCAGAGATTGCCGGCATTGCAGAGGCTAAGCTCCCAAATCCGTTGTAGTGAGGAAATGGCAATGCTGGCACCTAGAGTAGTGGCCTCAGCGCTTGTGGACAAAGAGTTGGCGAGACTTACAACTATACTGCTGTCTCTAGAAATCGAGAGTACACCACTCCCTGCCGGATTCTACCAGCCTAAGTTCACGTTGTACGACGGCAAGACGGATCCGTACATGCACGTGAGTCATTACTGGCAAGTAATGGCTGGACATCGGCGCAATGACGCTTTGATGTGCCTCATATTCCCAGCAAGCTTGGGAGAGCTGGGTTTGAAATGGTTCGAAAAGCTCCCGGAGGGGAGTATTGAGGGGTGGCAGCAACTAGCGGAAGCCTTCGTCACCAGATTCAAAACCAACACACGAACGCCGAAGGAGGTCGACCATCTCCTGGGCGTCAAGATAGAGTCTGGATGTTCGTTGAAGGCATACAACGCGAAATACTGGGAAACTTACAATGAGATCCTCGACTACCCCACCAATCTGGCGATCACTCAATACAAACGAGGTCTCCCAGTCGGACATAGGCTGCGAGATTCACTCACGATGCATCAACCCACAACCATGGAGTCATTGATGCAGCGGATCAATGAGCACATTTGTGTGGAGTACGATGCCGCCTCCGCGACCGAGAAGGCTAATCCGGTCGCGGAAGACAGAAGGGTGGCGGGGAAAGTTCACTTGGTTGGACAGGCGGATAACCGTCCAAACAACCGGTCAAAAGATCAGTGCCATGGTTCAAACCGTGATGACAGAAACAAGGGTCGCCGAAATGACCGGGCTGACACTCCCCGTGATGCAGTGGAGGATGCCAAAAGAAAATTAAAGGCACGGACTGGAATTACCACGGTATTTAAAATCCTTATCTACCACATTTTGAGCGAGATTCGAGGTGAACCATTCGTCCGTTGGCCAGCCAAGTTGGGGAGCGCGCAGAGGGGCTTCAATTCAAAATATCGCTACACCTTTCATGAAGAACGGGGGCACCGAACAGAGAACTGCTTGCCGCTCAAACAACACTTAGAGGACTTGATGGTGGCGGGGCATCTTGACCAATACATAGATGGGGGCATCAAGGCCACGCCAGCGGACCAAGGTATAACAAAGGTAAACCCGGGATCGCTAGCCAAACGGCCTGGCCGCCCTAGAAGCGCCCCCGCAAGGTGTAATCAACATCATCCACGGCATCATTAAACCGGCCAGGGTTTGCGAGCTGAGAGGGATGATCAAGAAGGCCGAGCACATGAGGGAAGTGCTCTCTGATCAGCCCGCTATGAAGAGGGGAAAGACCGAAGAGAGGGACATCCTTTCATTCTCGACCAAGGACTTGGAAAGAGTTCAAATGCCACACAATGATGCTTTAGTAGTCACTCTTCGCGTCAAAGACTTTGACATCAAGAGAATCTTGATCGACAAGGGGAGTTCGGTAGAAATTATGTATTATGACGCGTTTAAACAAATGAAGTTGGAAGACAAGGACTTGGCCCCCGCAACGTCCCCTTTGGTCGGCTTCAACTCACAGCCAGAATGGCCAATCGGAAAGATTATTTTGCCGGTCAAAGCGGGATTGGTCGTAAAGCAAGTAGAATTCTGGGTGCTCAAAGTTCCGTTGACTTACAACTTGATCTTAGGCAGGGGCTGGTTGCACGCCATGCAAGCAGTCACTTCGACCTTCCACCAAGTCATGCGCTTTCCGGCATCAAGCGGACAAATAGAGGAAGTTTAGGGGGACTAGGTGATGGCAAAACAATGCTTCGTTGCGGTAAATGGCAACCGAGCGGCCAAAGGGTTCATCCAAATGATTGAGGGGCCCGAGGGTAAAGAGGTCCTTGAAGACGTAGGAAGAAAGGCCGAGGAAAAATCAGTCGAAGATTTGGTGGAAGTGCGCATTGACGAGAACGATCCAACTAAATTCTTCCTCTTGGGATCATCCTTGTCTAGCACCAAGCGGATGGATTATGTCAACTTCTTGGTTTCCAATTTGGAGGCCTTTACCTGGACGCCTTACGACATGCCTGGCATCGACCCGAGCTTCATTTGTCATCAGTTGAATGTCTTCCCCAATGCACGGCCAGTCATTCAAAGGACGCGCCGCTCAACTTTGCATCATGCTGAAGTGGTGGCAGAAGAAGTGAAGAATCTGTTGGAAGCTGGGGCCATAGAGGAGGTGCAATACCCTCGGTGGATATCCAACACGGTGGTTGTTCCGAAGAAGAATGGCAAGTGGCGAGTCTGTGTTGACTACAAGACCGTCAACCGAGCTTGCCCCAAGGATAGCTTTCCCCTCCCACAAATCGACCAGCTGGTGGACTTAACCGCTGGCAATCAGAGGTTTAGCTTCCTGGACTCATATCACGGGTACCACCAGATAGCCATGTATAAACCGGACAGAGAGATCACGTCGTTCACAACCCCCAGAGGTTTATATTGCTACGAAGTCATGCTGTTCGGACTAAAGAACGCCGGGACGACTTTTCAACGGATGGTGACAAAGATTTTCGCCCCAATGCTGGGCCGCACCATGGAGGCCTACATCGACGATATGGTGGTGAAAAGTAAGGAGAAAGCTCAGCACCTCTCCGACCTAGCAGAGATGTTTGCTATACTTAAACGCCCCAAGCTTCGTTTGAATGCTTCCAAATGCGCCTTCGGAGTCGGCACGAGGAAGTTTTTGGGTTTTCTGGTCACAAATCGAGGGATTGAAGCTGACCCATCACAGATCAAGGCTATACAAGACCTGGAGCGTCCTAACACCACGAAGGACGTGCAATATCTTGCCAGGATGGCAGCCGCGTTGAACAGATTTATCAGCCGATCTTCTGATCGTTGCAGGCCCTTCTTTAAAACTCTGAAGTCCAAGTTCTTCTGGGATGACGAGTGCGACCGCGCACTAGCAGACCTGAAAGCATATCTTTTCTCAGCCCCTATTTTGGTAACACCTCAGCCAGGCGAAGAGTTGTACCTCTACTTGGCTGTCTCTCAGCACGTAGTCAGCGCGGTATTGGTTCGTGCTGAAGGCGTCCAGCACCTACCAATCTTCTATGTAAGCAAGACTCTACTCCCAGCCGAAACGAGATATCTTCTGTTGGAAAAATTGGCGCTGGCCCTAATGATGGCGTCAAGAAAGCTGGCACACTATTTTCATG